CGCTTATGAAGTTAGTGTCACTTAACTTCAGAAGTTATTAATCTTTTCGTCTTTTTTTTCTCTCCGTTTCTCTCAGGATTATTATGATTTGTTGTTGATTGTTAGTTGGTGTTCATTTCGTTCTCTCTTCTCTCTTTTTCTCTTCTCTCTCTCTCTCTCTCTCTTTCTTTCTCTCTCTCTTTTCTCTTCTCTCTCTCTCTCTCTCTCTCTCTCTCTCTCTCTCTCTCTCTCTCTCTCTCTCTCTCTCTCTCTCTCTCTCTCTCTCTCTCTCTCTCTCTCTCTCTCTCTCTCTCTCTCTCTCTTCTCTCTCTCTCTCTCTCTCTCTCTCTCTCTCTCTCTCTCTCTCTCTCTCTTCTCTCTCTCTCTCTCTCTCTCTCTCTCTCTCTCTCTCTCTCTCTCTCTCTCTCTCTCTCTCTCTCTCTCTCTCTCTCTCTCCTCTCTCTCTCTATCTATCTATCTACCCGTCTGTCTATCTATCTACCTGTTTGTCTATCTATCTATCTGTCTGTCTATCTACTACTCTACCTGTCTGTCTATCTATCTACCTGTCTGTCTATCTATCTATCTGTCTGTCTATCTATCTACCTGTCTGTCTATCTATCTATCTGTCTGTCTATCTATCTACCTGTCTCTCTATCTATCTATCTGTCTGTCTATCTCTATCTGTGTGTGTGTGTGTGCGAGAGAAAGTGGGTGTGTCCGAAGCGCGTGTTTATTCTCCGTTAGCCAACAGTAGGCAATAACTCTACGGTACCAAAACCCACGTTTCATTACTTACATCAGCCGCGCATGCTAAATAAATATTAACACACAAGATGAGGACGCGTTGTATGAGACTGTCCTGTTTTCCTTGCACTTCTTCCTTCTTGGAGATTATGACAGCATTATAACAACGTCTTAAGAGAGATTAGGTCTGTATTTCGTTGTTTACAGACGCCATTATAGCTTCAGGAGATCTATACTACAATGACAATTCCTGCGAGTATATTAATGATACATAAACCCAACTTGTGGAAGATAAGGACATTTCTGGCACTGTTTGTGTTGGGCTTCTTTGAATATATACAGATTTAGTTCTTATATAGTTTTGGCAGAAGAGCTTAGATCAGTTCTGCTTGTCGTTTAGCTAGAACACAAAAAGAGATATAATAGATATTTCAACACTGAGTTTTGAAGTTATTTCGACTAAATGTTTTTCAGAGAGATAAAAAACTTTAACTGGTAGTACTTTTCACTTACATTTTCGTTTACTGAGAGTGTGTGTGTGTGCGTGATTGCACTTACACGATTTTGCAACGGAATATAAAAGTGTTTGGACTACGCGTGACACAAGCAATCAGCTTTATATTGCAAAGAACGGTTTGCACTCCCTCGAGACTGTGTGTGTATTTTTGGACACATTTTCTCTGACACACAATTTTAGTCTTATACCACTGCAATGTGATGCACTGTGCTATATGTCATTGTTTTGTGAACGTTTCCTGGGGTGTTTGTTATTCTTTTTTTTTTTTCCTTTTTGAATTATGGTGATTGGAGTATTGGATTGCGTGTGTATCTGTGTACTTTTTTTGTTCTTTTTTCGTTTATTGTTCCCATAACTCTTCGTCATTTCTTTGTCTTCTTATTCTTTTCTTCTCTGTGTTCTATTGAAGGTATTCTCCGCCTTTCCTTACGTCAGTATATAAAGTACCTCTACGTTTTCAGTAAGTTTTGATATCATCCCGAAAAGTTAAGGAGAAAACTCGGGCTGTTGAAGCTTGTTAGATAAAAAAAAAATTGCAGTAGAAAGATATTTTCCTAATACCGTGCAACTTTTTCCATTCCATGATTTATCTTCGCAAAATATGTACACCCAATTTCATCAGTTGTTATCCAAAGTTACCCAAATCATAGTTTTTTTTCTACCTCCTCAAAAATACGAACTGTGTATTCCTGTTAGATTATTCTTTTATTCTCCTCCCCCTTTTCTTTCTTTTTTTTCTTTTTATACTTGACATATAGGAAAAAAAAGTCCCTGGAACATTCACAGAAAATGACGCGTAAAAAAAGAAAGCCAATCCAGGTCACAGGAAGAGGAAGCTTCTGCTTGGGAGGTCTTCAGAGGAAGTCCACCGCCTAACGGTGTCACTGAGAGCCGCTGTATCGCTCCCGCTGCAGCCTCTCAAGGGGAAACTCGAGTGAAAGTTATTATCTGACGGGTCTCAAGCGAGAGTTCGCGTCTGGCGGGTTTCAAAGGGAAGTTTCGGCGCCGCCCTTGTGATCGCCCCGGTCCGCGTCCTCCACAAGGGGGAGAATTCGATAATTTGTTGTTGTTTACCCGTGGCACTCGCCGCCCCTCCCGCCCGGGCGTGATCTACGGCAGTTCCTCTGATTTGTGTTGAGTTCCCTTTGATAAATTCGCTGTTTCTGTTCATTTGACGGTCTGTGTACGTAACAAGGATCTTCTAGTCTTCTTTTTATTCTCCATTTGATTCTAAGCAACTGTTAACCGTAATTAATCTGTAGATATTCACTATATACATCAGTTCAACTTTAAGATCCAATGCATTTCATTTTTTCCCCCAACTTTGCGCGGGTCATTTATGCTCCATAGCGCCTAACTTTATCTCGCTAATTGAAATTCCGACAGAGAAACGGTAATTGTTGAAAAGATGAAGCTGCTCCACGGAAAACTCTCGAAGACTTTTCCTAAGAAACGCAACGCTAACTTTGTCTCATTAGTAACCTTATTTCCCAATGATAAAAAAAAATCTAAGAAACAAATGAAGAAGTTTATTTTAAAAAAATAAATCCAATAGAATTTTACACAAACGAAGGCCTTTCTCCGTATACATGAGGATTTAGGATTAATCCCAATCTGAAAAAATAACAAACACATACATAGATCCAAAGTTAATGCTATTACTTCCATCCCGCTTATGTAAATCAATTCAAGATTAAAGGCCAGAGTATATCCCATGCTGAAAGTTACACATCCTCATGAATACACTTCTAATCCCCCCTTCGCTACGAGACACGACTAACCTCTCTGGCTCTTCTCAGGATCAGTCTCGCCCGTGTAAAGTTAGTCACAGTATCAAGAAGTTGGAGGATGGCACCTTCAGGACAGAAGACGAGGATCAGGACAATTTGCTGAATTATACAACTGCTAAAGGGCTGCTCTTTGTTCGTCCTTTGTCTGTGTGTTCTTTTTATGTCTGTCTGTATCGTCCTGTGTTCGTTGTTTTACTGATGCATCTGTTTGTGTTGTGTCAGTCTCATATATGCATATATGCGTGTGTGTGTTGGTGTGTTCATGTGTGTATATATGTATGTATGTGTGTGTTAATATATATATATATATATATATATATATATATATATATATATATATATATATATATATATATATATATATATATATATATATATATATATATATTGTACATATATAACACTGACATCCAGATATATACAAACAAACAGATACATCAGTAAAACCAACGAATATATAGACGGGACGATACAGGCAGACAAACACAATATACAGTGTTTATGTCTGACTGTTTGTATGTGCGTGTGTGTGTGTGTGTTGTGTGTGTAGAGAGAGTCTTACGTGTGCGTGTGTGTGTGTGTGTGTGTGTAGAGAGAGTCTTACGTGTGCGTGTGTGTGTTTGTGTGTCTCCATCCCTTGCAAATAAAGAAATAGGAATAGTGAACATTTTGATCCTTATATAAGGTGCCTTGTTCCCACACGCATTGCCGAGTAAGCCATCATGAAGCTCCTAGGCAATGCCAGAGTTAATGGTAAATACACACAGCAAATATAATTAGACATACCAGCATTGCCACTGACTGCAGTTAACGGCAAGGCAAATCTGCATACCAAATTTGCCGAGAAATTATGTCTATATGGAAACTCATTATGCCGGCGAATCCTTAAATCGACACCAAACACGCTTAATTATATTTTAAAATTTTAAAGAAAAGTCAAGACCAAATTTTCCCTTTCGGTTCCTGGTTTCCTCCAAACTCGTATTTACCTTCGACTCTCCCGGTTTAACTTCAAGGAAACACTTTAAACCTCCTTCGCCATATCCATACTTATCAGGCGACCCAACTGCCTCTGAACACTCGTAAAGAAGTTTCCTCTTGTTTTCTTAAGAGGGGAGGAGTTAAAGAGGGAAACCAGGGGGGGGGGGGGGAGGGGAGGGGGAGGGAAAGAGGAACCAGAGGGGAGGAGGAGGGAGTTAAAGAGGGAAACTGGGGGTGGTAGGGAGGGAAGGAGGATAGGGGGGCCCACCTGGGCATCTTAAGGAGACGCTCCGTTAGTCGGTAAGGCTCGCGTGTCTCCATTTACAAATGCCCCTTGGGATGTGTACCGGAAAAGGAAGTTAAGAGGGAGGGAAGGGGAGCGAGGGTAAAGGAAGGGGGAAGGAGTGAGGTAGAGAAAAAGGAGGGAGAGGGATGAGGATAAAGAAAGTAAGGGGAGGAAGGGGAGCCGAGTAGAGTGAGAAGTGAGGGTTAGAAGAGCGAGGCCGAGGAAGTGAAGGGTAAGGAAAGGGGGAGGGGTGTGTAAAGGAAGTGAGGGTAAAGAAAGGGGAGGGATGAGGGTAAAGGAAAGGGGGGAGAGAGTGAGGGTAAAGGAAAGGGGGAGGAGAGTTAGAGGGTAGAGAAAAAAGGGGAGGAGAGGAAAGGAAAGGGAGAGGGAAGTGAGGTAGAGAAAAAAGGGAGAGAGGAAGTGTGAAAGGGAAAGGGGGAGAGAGGAAATTAGGGAGAGGAGGGAGAGGAGGAATTAAAGGAAGAGGGGAAGAGAGGGAGAAGGGGGAGGGAAGTAAAGAAAAGGGGAAGAGAGCGGAGTAAGGATAAAGGGGAGAGGAGAAGTGAGTAAAGGTAAAGGAGAGGGAGAGAGAGGGAGAGGAGGTATCTCCCGCAGTCTTGAAAGAAGCGATGAGAATGACTTCCTCTGCGAAATTCATCTTTAACACGTCTCGAGATAAAGGCTTGGAACAGTGTGCTCC